TTCATATTTTTCAAAAATATTATATTATATTGTTATAACTTGAACATTTGATTAATTATCTATTCCCTTTATTAAAACGAAGGGAGCCATTGTTAATATTAAAGTCTACTATTATAACGTACAATATGAACATTACTGGTATATGTTATTCTTTATTTCACCCCAATATATAACAGTATTATCAAGTCTTTAAGACTATTTTATTTGTAATACTTAAATTGGCGTATTTATTATTTTTTTGCTTTAAACGCAATTATAGTAATGCAAAAACTGAAAGGTCAAATGTTGCAATATTTATGAATATATGCTAAAATTACAATGACTTTTTTAACAATTTTCGAAAATCGTCGAATAAAATAAAAGGTGGTATAAAAATAAATTATCACGGTATGTTTAGATGATTCTAATTCATGTACCTAGAAATGATTTTAACAGAAAACGATGAAATAGTAAAGAAAATAGAAGCAAGAATTCAGTCCAGAAACAAATGCTTTTTCGAAAAAGCGAAACTGTTTGGTGCTCGATCTTCGTCAAGGAAATTATAAGTACAATTATATACTACCTTGGTAAGACTAATTGTAACGTATGGAGAAGAGACTTAGGCATTTCGAAAAACTGATGAGTGTAAATTCTTTGCTTTTGAAAGGAAAATCCTGAGAACAATTTTCGGATCTGTGGAAGACAGTTTGCAATGACTAGTGGACAAGGTAGAATGAAGAATTAGGTTCACAATACCAAAAACTGAACATCGTTTTAGTAATCAAAAATAAGAGGCTACAATGGACAGGCACGATTAGAGAAGCCAAAACCCATTCATCCGAATAATGCTAGAGAATAATCCGACATGTAAAAAACTCATTGGAAGACCTAAAATGAGGTGGGAATATTTAGTTAAGAATGACGTGGAAGAACTAGGAAGAGCCACAAATGGGAAAGCGCGAACATCTGATGGATAGAAGACTGGATATATGGCAGGTTAGACCTAGAGGTCAGTAATACCCAGAAGAAATAATATGTTTAGACAGCAAAGGCTTTTATGATCAAATAATCGAATTCAAACTGCTGATTTCTATATCACGTTCTAGTATTATATGCGATCAATAAACGAAACACTTCAAGATAAATAGATTTTAATAACTTCATAATTTAAATCCTAGCATCGTGTCTAGTTATTCAATTGACGTTTCATCAATGATCTCAACATTCTTCCTATCACTTGACAAAGTTCGCCAAAATGTTCGCATTTCCGCTACTTCTGGTTTTATTCGTACTAAATATGCACGATAAGCTGACTATATATTTGCACATGAAAATAATAAAGTGCAGGCTACAATTTAACAATTATAGTTAAGACTATTAATCGATTGATTAAACATAACATTGTAATACAATAACAATGAAATTAATACTAATTATAACATATCCTAACCTTTTGTACACAGGGTACCTAATTAACTAGAACTCATGCAATAAAATTAAAAATATAAATCTTAATAACACTTTGTCTTTTCAAATGCTTATAGTATCTTACGTTCTATAATGAAAAAATGAAAATATATATGTCTAATCAGATGAAAATAAGAATCTAACTAAAAAATGACTGGTAGATAACAACTTTTGAACTAGTATTTTAAAAGAATTAGCATTTTTATACCATGGTACGAAGTAGTACGATTCACAAATGCTTAGAGATAAAAATAAACAGACGCGAGTTCACCTCCAGTTATTACTTAAAATTATTAATAAATTCTTTACTTTATATTAAAGTGTTAATAATTTCCAATACTAATTTAAAAATAGTTAATGAACAGTCATTTTCTTATTTAAACATATACATATCGCATGTTTCCATTTAAAAAACAAAAGTTGACACAATTTTAAAGGGGTAGGGGCGGAATTGGGAGAAATTTTTTTTTTAATTATAGAACGTAGGATACTATCAGTTTGTAAAAAAAAAAATTACATTATGGTTTATAGATATTATTAGTTAGTCTATAATTAAAGTTTAGTTATTTCAAGTTATTGCATGACTCATAATTGAAACAATCATCCTGTATGTATCGATTTCGTCAAATATTTTACGTGATTCGTTATTTAACTAATAATTAAAAACAAAAAAGTGATATTTATCACGCTAAATGAAGTTTTTTTTAAATTTGAACTCAAGAAGGAACCAAAAGAGTAACCTCAAAAAGAAATAACATTTCATTGGATAATATTATTTGACATAATTTACAGAAAATGGATGAATATAAATTGAATGCAACTAATGGAACATTAGACATACTTGAATAATAGTAGCAGCATAATTTCTAGTCCAGTCCCAAGAAACAGGATAAAGTAAACGCATAGGTATTCCCTCATTAACGTCATCAGCTGAAACAAAAGGTAAAGCACATATGGTTGTGCCCTGGCGTTCCGGATGCAACGGATTATTGTACCATAGTTCTTCAACTAATCTATCCATAAGTCGATAACGACACAATCGACTGTGTCCAATTGCATCAACCTCGATGGCCTCAATAAGAACCTTTACTAAAGCAGGATATAAAGTTGGTTGCAAGAGTTCAATAATTGGATGAATTTTATTCTCTTCCATTTTTATATGATATTAATAAAAAATAATCATTTTTATTGTTTTTGTGTTGCATAGAGATGCGGTATATTATAATAAACATAACTCACGCAGTAATATAATAAATTTTATTATATAACTATGTATTTTTGAGTATTAATAGTATCGCTGTATTGTTTAATGAACTTATTACATGTTATATTAAAGCTATTCATTAAAATTTTATTTGTCGAATAATTTTAAATACATCATATTGAGCATAAAGTAAATTTTATTTTAATCTGAACATCAGTATTTATCTAGTAATGCTGTTTACAAAATGTAAAATAAGTAAAGAAATATTGATAATTCAAGTGAATATATATCAGCTAATTAGCGTATGGTTGTTAAAACATTCGAGTCTGTAGCCTTCTGTTTTTTGGTATTACCAATATTATTTATTTATTATTCAAAAATGTGTAAATCTTGCAAAAAAAAATCTAGGATATATGTCACTAGGGTTACATTTTAAACATATTACCCAAAATATCTAGTCTTGTTGAAAAGCAACAAGCCAAATGTTTTGGCGATATCGCAGAAAGGTCATATATGTTTTATTATAGAATAAACGTGAGGTGTTCGGTTTTTTTAACTTATTTATTTTATTACCATTTTTTACCCTGGATTTCTATCAAACTTATAGACTCGTTTATGCGTCTTTCAATGTAAGTTAGTGAATTAATAGTGACAAGGTGGATTATATGATTGGTTGCCATCACGCAGTAGTTGCACACAAGACATCATGCAAACACATAATTTTCCAAACGAATATAAGCGAACCGTGTCATGTGTTTTAAAGCAATATATTATATTTAAAATTATTCTCAGTGTTTTCCTAGTGCTTAATGGAAGCATTTAAAAGTTGAAATAATAACTGTAATCACATTTAGATAACTTAATATTTTCAAGTAAAATAAATTGTGTACATACATAGTCTAAACTAATGCATTAGTACTAATATAATATAACATGTTATACAATAATACACTATAATATTTATGTATGTTAATAATTAATATTAATAAACATATTTTTATATTAAAGTTCTACAAAAATATTTTTAAAAAGAAGTAATTACACTGAATTCTTAAGAATTTAATAAAAAAAATTTCTAATTTTAAAATTCAAAATTGACATTTGTTAATATTTTATTCTAAATAATACTCCATGTTCACCTTGATTAATTTACAGTAGAATAGCAAGTAATTTCAGGCAAATTATTATACTAATTTGCGACTAATAGTTTTGCAATAAATAATTCATAGAAATTTATAGAAAAATTTTAAACAAAAAGAAAACAAAGCATTTTGTTTTTAAACCTAACAAGTTATTTAGATAGAACGTTAAAATTAAATTTTTTTTGCATGCGCGCTGTCATATGACTTGTAAGCTCTTTTTTACGAGTACCTAGTCGATGGACATAGTTATAACACGCATGGCAGAGAATAAAAAAACAAAAGAAGATATTGCACCCATTTTAAGGAACGATATGGCTAAATAATAAATAAATCACCTCTATCGTCTCATGCATTAAATGGAACTACTTTCTTTTAATATATTATACTACCAAAAAGACTTTTAAAGGAAAAAACGATGTAGCCTTTTATTTTTATTACTATTGTTTTTACTTTGTTATATTTTGTTTGACGTTAATACAAACCAGAGTTTTTTAAGTAAAGACGTGGAAAGAAAATTTACGTCTTGGTAAAAAGATCGTAAAATTTTAACGAGTTGACGTGAAACGGGTTAAATTTGGCTACCTCAAATTGCTTTTATAAAAATAATATGAAATAAACACAAACATCACGTGAAAATAATTATCGTCATACTATTTTATCTTCTTAGTGAAATCATTGAGCAAAAAAAATATTTTATAAATTAATCATGATTCTATACTTATTAACACATAATAAAATACATAAATTATTAACTACTGTACATAACATAGAAAAATATCAAGGAGATATTGAAGCTTGATTATAAATTCAATTAATTCAAACTATTTTCTCACAAATAAACTTTTTAATTTTAGACCATAAGTTAGTTATGTAAGTTAAAATTATTATAATTCTTTCAGTTAATGTTTTAATAAATATATTATACTTGTAACAATTACTCTTGTATTTTTGCATTCACAAATTTATTTTTTTAATAAAAAACTTCAATTCTAGATACTTAAATTACTGAATTAAAATTGTTTACAAGTAAAACTCATTATAATAAAAGATCCTCAATAAAAAACATACTTTTCTATTTTTAAGAAAATTATTTTCTTAAAAATGGAAAATTATTATCATCATTGAATTTTTTAGGATTAAGTAAAAATAAATGTTTTTGCAATCAAATATTCTTGTTTCACTAGTAATATATATATATTGAAACTTACCGATATCAATGATTCGACAGCCAATAACAAAGATACAAAATACATTAATAACCATCGCTTTCATTTCTGATATCCAATCAACAGTATAAAACAACTGAAACTATAAATAATACATAAAATAACAAAGTATAATATCAATAATTCAAAGTCGTATAACTTTTTAAGTATTTAAAACATTACTTGGGAGGGGTAAGGTAAGTCAATCTCCTATCACTAAAAGATATAGTGAAATAAATATATGTTGGAGTAGATTAACATTATCACCCCCATTCAATTAAGACACTTGAAACGATTAAATAAGACATATAGTAAGATTTATACAATAAAAATTGATAATTTGTGGCTAACATTATTTAAAATTAATAATATGTTTCAATTAATATTTTAAATATATTTTTATTTATAATGGTAAGATTTATATAGACAGAAATGACTTAAATAATTCACCAAAAAGTTTAAAAAAAGTTTTGTTTTTATTATGACAATAATTTTTTCTTAGTTACTCTTATATAAAATTTAATAACAGTGTTATTAAGGGGCACCTTGGGCATTACTAATTTAAATTTGTTAAATTTCCATTTATCTTTAAAACATAGTAAAAATTCATAATTTAATTTATTTTAAATTGTCATTTTATAATAAAATGTATTTTTCATATTTTATTTTTTTTTGATAATTTTTAATTTGACACTTAATGGTCAATTTACAAACTTAATTTTGAAAATTTTATAATAAGTACAGTTAATTTTTCTCTATTATTAGTTATCACGTTTTAATTTTTAGATAAATTAATAAATAAATTATATCTTTTTAATAATAACTTTTTTTAATTATAAGACCTCATTTTAGAACTGACATAATTTTTAATAAAATACAATTTATTTAATTTTAAGTTATAGAATAAAAAAAAAATTACGAAAATATTAAATGAAAAATTAAAAGGCATAAATCTAGTATAATCTGATATGATGCCACTGTTGTTTGTCCTAAAAATAAAAAAAATATTATAACAAAAGTATTAATTTATCTATGTCAATAGGTTACAATTCCTTAATTATTTAAATGGATAAAACTTTTTAAAAACAATTTTAATTTAATTTAATTAACGAAAAATTAATCAATTTCAATAAATCAAAATATTTCATTGCAGAAATGTTTTATGAGAATGTAAATATCAAAAGTTAATTATCTAACTTGGATATATTTTTAATATGTATGCTTCAAAAATCTAAAATGACTAATATAGAATATGACATTTATATAAGAAAAATATCCTAAGATCTTTAAATAATAAAATGCTTAATAAGAATTAATGATAATACATCTAACATAATTCTAAAAATAATATAATACATTTAAAAATATTTATTGAAATAACACATTTTCAAGTATGGCATTTAGTGGATTAAAATACTATTTTTTATTTCAGCGTGTAAAAACTTTATTTGAGTACATAGAATTATTTGAACATGTTTTTTATAATTATTTTTATTTATTAATAAAATATTATTTTTAATTCTTATTTGTTTTCAAATTACAAAAATATATATTTTCTCATAAAATTTATAATTTTTTGTTGTTACTAAAAGAAAATGTATATAAGAACACTTGATCTATAAATAAAAATAATACTAACCTAATTGTAAATTACAAGTTAGAATATATGTCGTGATCATCGAAACAATATTTTAGTACTACATAGTGTTCAAAGTTATGACTTTTTTATAAAACATTTTTTTTTCCATAAACTTATTACTCAGTTAACTTGAGGTTAACATGAATCTTATTCACTCGCGAACTGTACATGAAAATTAATAAATAATACGGAGAGTCGGTGAATCTTTAGCAACGGCGTGCAGCACACTGCCGGCCGGCTGATACTAGCGAAGATTTCGGTACTGTGCAAATGATGACACGCCGACCGGCACGCGCTTTCTGATGAGCTCTGGTGGTAAAGGCGGCCGTATGCACCAAAATATTTACAACATATGTAATTTGCACCAAAACTCTTCATAATTTTCACTAAAATATAGATATTGACACCATCTCATTTAGTTAAAAACATGAAATTTAATTTGCACTAGAGTTTAAAATTACAAGAAATTTTGGTGAAAAAAATTGGAAAACCAGTTTGTTTCCTGGCATCTAAGAAAAATTGGAAATTTATAAAAACTTAAACTAAATCAACATAAATATTTCAAACTATTATAGCATAAATAAACACTATTCTTTTAGGTTGGTTATTATACACTAACCTCTTATTTTCATAATTACTAATATTGAGTAAACTATACTCAATAAATAAAACTATTTCTCAAATAGTTTTAATACCTTTACTATCTATACTTAATAATAAAATGAAACGACTGAACACTGTCCTGATATTATGTGTTAAGGATTGTCAACTAGTGAACTATTATATCCAATTGCCACCGGGTTACTAAGTTAACCTTATTCTTCATCAGCAACATGTGAAAGAAATTGGTCTGCTATTAGCAGAGTACATACTAAATCTAGAAATACACTTAAAGTGATAAACAGAAACTAGTAGCAATAAATAATAACCTCAATATACTTCAAGAAAACTGTTCAAGTGAACCAAAAAAGAAAAGTTGAAGATATTCAAGCTTAATAGTAATATTAACCAAAATAATATTAGTATTCATTCAGTATCTACTAATTACACAGATTCTGGGATGATTTCCAGTTGCAATTTCAATACATTGCATAGTATTAATAAATAAATGTTGTTCTAATAATTTATATTATGAAAAAAATAGTAGTAGTATTAACAAAATATTATGAGCTAATATTGCAGTTGGAACTAGAAGTAATTGAATAGGAACATTATATACACATAATAATATAGAAGTATATTATTATGTGTATATTATATTCCTATGTTTTTTTGTCAATTTCAAATTTTCCTATTTTTCTCAAAAAAAAATAATTTTTATTCGATCTTCAATTTTTTGGGATATTCGATTATTCTTTCGATATTACGTCCATGGTTCGACAGAAATAAATAATATTCGCACTTCTGAAAAATATTGACACAGCTCAACAACTGAAATATTAGGAAATCAATTATATTACGCTAGTGAAATTGTGTTAATAGTGGTTCAACTATTATTATTTTAGCTTCGATACGAAGCTGAGAAGGTATTAATTTTACTATGATGTGCTCTTTTTTGTGTTTGTTACCACTTTTTCTCAGCTCTCACCGATTTGTATTCTTTCAGCGATACGTCAAAAGATCACAAATCGTATCTAGCCGAAGAGATTACCCTCAAAAATTGAAATAATTTCCTTCGTTCCCAGTAAATGGAGGAAATCTCCAAAAAAAATACAATTTTAAAAATCGCTAATTTTCAACATTTTTTTTTTCTTAAAACTGCCATAACTTTATCATAAATAACCAAATCAATATAATTTTTTTTTAAATAGATGCATAATATCTTTACCTATCATTTGGTATATATTTTTTATAAATCTGACCTTTTATCTGCCTACAGGAGGGATTCCAAATGACAACTTTTTCACAAAAAATTAACTTTTGAAAGTGTTCCGGAAATACTGACACTTTTATATATATCTTAAATTAAAGCTAATGTAATATACTTTGTTATGGAAAAAAAAATGTCGGATGTTATTTTTGTATTAAAATTCTCAATTTTATATTTTACATTTTTAACTTTATATTTCTCTAACTTTTTTAAAAAATGTATGGATCAACACAATTTTTTTATGAGAAATACTATTTATAGACCTCTTTCATTCGTCATACTTTTTTTAGGAAATAAAGGGATCATGTCCCTTTATAAAGGGGGGTTCAAAACTTAAAAATGCATATAGAAAAGAGAACTTTTTCAACTTATTTTTTGAAAGTGTTCAAAATATACTGTCACTTTTATATAAATATCTTAAACTAAAGCTCATGTAATATACTTTATTATGGAAAAAAAATTTCGGACTTTATTTTGTTTTCATGGTTGAAACGGACATCAAAGTTAATAAAAAAATACGATTTTTCTAAAAAATTATAATATTAAATTATTAAATATCAATTTCATACTATATTTAATGCTATACTAAATATTTATACATATATTACACTTATAAATCATAAAACTTGTAATCAAAATATAAATAAGGAAATGTTGCTTTTGGAATAATCCATAAATTTTTTAAAACTAAACACTATTTACAGATTTGCATTGAAGCGTTTTTTATAATAGTGATTTTAATCACTGTCAATATCATATATACTGATCCAACTTATACGTCCCCATTGCGCTGGGTTTTTATTATTATTATTTTTTTTTGTGTCTATTACCACATTTTCTCAGCTCTCACTGGACCGATTTTCTTAACAATACGTCAAAAGATCACAAATCGTATCTAGTTGTTTTATATTAAGACCGCTACATGCTACCAACTTAATCAGTAGATATTTAAGCAGAAATAGTGACACAACTAACTAAAGTGTTACTATTTACGCCGTAAAATGTATTATTTTCGACTCAAGAATAAAGACTTTACTGTCTTAAATTTTGTCATCATGAAAAAATGTTTAAAATCTAAATAAAAATAATAAAATTATGAAGAACTTGATATCATTACTTGAAATTCAATTTTTATTAGTTGTGTCAATATTATTTCAGGAGTAGAATATATTGAGGAAAATCTACATAATCTAGAACTTCTAAAAGATAAAGTATAATACTAATATATCATAAATATATATATTTTGTTGTAAATTCCTGAAACATTTTAAAAAACATCAAAAAAATGTTTGTACACTCGCACTTATAATTTATTCTACTTTTCATATATAACAAATGTTGGTTTAGAAATTTTTTTTTTCAATAATTTCTACTGTAGTTTTTTATTTTCATACCTACTCATCACTTTAAAAATGAACATATATTCTTTAAATTTCAAGAATTACTACTAACTTATTATTAATGTTTATCAAATATTAATAAAAGATAATCTTTAATATTTTACATTAATTTTGTTTTAAAAAAAAATGTTAATTTAATGGCACACTAATGCGCAAAAGAAGATTAAACTCATCATATGTATTCTATATTAATAATAGTGTATTTAAGTACCTAATACTAGGTTATCTATATTATTCATTTTTCTCTCCATAACTATTGCCATAACATTTTTTCTCTTTTTGTACTAGTCGACTTACGACACAACTGCTACTATTTTCAGAATTCTCAAAATATCATGGGTTTAATAAAAGCTATCTTAACATTTGTCAAGCAAATATAATATGTTTTTAAGAAACTGCTTTTCTAACATGTTACATTATAATAAAAAGAGTTTAAATTACTAGTATAAATATGTAATGTTTTGAAGCGATTGTTTATGAAGATAATACGACGTTAATCGGCTAAACTCAGATTCGTATATGACAAAACTTTAATTAAGTAAATGTGTATATGTTAGTAACAAATTAATATTAAATCAAGAGCTTAGTAGAGTGTGTAAATTTTCAGACGGAAACTATGAAGATTTAAAGATAATAATAAAGAAATTGCTTCTAATGAAAAATGTTTGTTGATTGTCTGTAGTTAAATTTCTAGAGCATTTTAAAATTTGAAAAAATTTTTAATTTTTAGTGTTTATATTATGATGACAAACGTTGGTCTAAACTCATCAGAGAAGGACAGAATTAGCACAATCCTTAAACACTAAATAATGGTTATATGTATTGAATTTTTTTCCTTAAAAATTTGAAGTTGAATGAACATCGATAATTTTATTGAATAAAATTGATGAATTAATTAGATAAAAACTTGTTATTTTTGTACAATACGTATTTTTAAGTTCGATTATACATTATTAATGCAATTTTAAATTTTTACAAATTTTAAAATGCTCTAGAAATTCAATTTCAAAATATCAAGAAGATATTTTGCTACCAAATTATTTCTAATTATCTATTCTATATAATGACTATTTTATTTTTTTTTATTACTTCCATATAATTTTTTCAAAATTAATTATTTTTATAAAAAAAAAATAATAATAATTTATATTTTATGGTATTATTATAATTTTATTCTCTATCAAGGTTTTAAAAAATAAAGTAACAAAATATGTTCAAAGTGGATCGAAAGTCACAGAATTTTCAGAACAAGTTGGGACACTTGTACTTAATCAATTTATCTTTCAATTAATAATTATCAAAATAATATAAAATGTTTTTGCTAAAAACATATTCATCTAATTAATAAGCTAATATTATGAACAAATATCAAGTGAAAAGTGTTTGTTTTGGGCATATGATACCTTCAGTTACAACGAGAAAAATTTAGTAGAGAATACGTTTTTTTTTTCAACATAAATATATTATGTACATAGTTTTACACGCCAATTTTCTTCGTTCTAAACAACATAAGTAAACCGTATAACTCATATGGATGTATGTAACGAGAATAACCTCGTATTGTATGAAGGAAGATGTATTCCGTAGGACTTTATCATACAGCGCATTTGTTTTATAATACCCCCAGCGGCACAACCTTCCAACCAATAATTCGATTTCAAATCCAAACGTACAAATTTAATTTAATTTGTTTTGCGAACATTTCGAGCAGTAAACTAGGGTTTGTGCGAATACAGCCCAAGGGTTAAATAGTTCTGCGCTAACCTTGAAATTTTGTACTTTTTTCAATTATGTATCTGATTAACCATCACACTACATCAAAAGAAAGTAAGTAAATTTTACAATTAAAGACTACTTAACTAGTTTTAAATATTCCAGAATTTTTCATTGCAATAACATAACGCAACTATGCAAACTTTGATACAGTTTCAAAAGTTTTCCAACAGATAACAAAATTTTAATTGTTGATTTATGTATAAATGCATATAATAACAAATAACTTAGTTTTGGTTAACTATAGATAGTTCCTTTCGTGAAAATGTTTCCAATAAAAACAAGTTTTTTTTTATGTTGATGACAATAAGTCACATTAAATTATTTTCGGAACTTTGGGATTTGTTGAGGGATAAAAAGAATTTCGTGATTTTGAAAAAGATTAAAAAAGAGAAGTATAGTAAAATAAATGAAAAACGGTTATATACCTCTTGGGATTTAAGAGGCTCGTCTAAAGAGAAAATTTACTTTGGTAACTTTAAGGTTGTTTATTAAAGGTAAATGAACAGCCGTTTATTTTATGGTTTCTGGGTGTCATTAGCATAATGATTCCCGCGATAGTGAGAAACAAAAAAAAAACAACTATGGAGAAAATAACATAAAAAGTATTTAAATCCCTGGAATATTCTAAGATCTTCTTTTACAAAAAAAAACAGTACAGAGAATATACACTAGGGAGTGCTTCAAGACAATAAGAATAATTTTTGGAATAAACAAATGTGTAATTTTATTTTGACGCATCTAAAGTTTTCTCATTAGATTTTTGGTAATCACTCTTATTGAACTTTATTATAATTAGTATGAGAATGACATTGAGTCAAAGGTTTGGTTTAAACATAATAAAAAATAAATGGCTCCGGTCTTAGCTTACACCCTGTTGGTGACACCTCCGTACAACCAGTCATCCATATTATTACGCCATACAGATAATAATTGTAGAAAGTATTTTCCAACTCGATAAGGCACAAAAAATTATATTTTTACTACGTAGTTTGTACTAGACCTCGTAAAAAATTTATTTCAGGACAGTATAAAAAAGGGTAGCATAGTGGGGCCGATGCACATTATGGACGTGGGATAGTTGAAACAAGTATAGATGATATCATACATTTTAATCACTGTCATAAGAAACGCTTCGATGCAAATCTGTAGATAGGTTTTAATTCTAAGAAAGTGGTGCATAATTACAAAAGTAACATCAACTCCTATAACTCTTTAATTATATCCTGATATCCAAACTAATTCTTAGATTTAAAAGTATAATTTATAAATAAATATTTATTATAGAAATTAAATATAGTATGAAATTAATGTTTAATATTGCAATTTTTACGAAAAATAGTTCATTTTATTACTTTTATGACAAACAAATACAAAAATTAAAGGACTTTATAAAAATATTTTATAAATAAATTTTTTTTTTTACAAAATTTTGATTGGTTATTTTAGTTAAAGTAAATCATAAAAAATTAATTAAGATCAAAATATTTCTATTGTAGAATCTATTTGAAGACCAAAAGATACTGATACTGATCAATTATTTCTATTTAAGTGATTATTACGATAAAAAAAATGTATTGAGCTTTTCTGAAAAATTTACTGTAAATAGTAATTATAAAATTTCCTGCGCATTAATCTTAACAGTATTATTTTTTTAATTCTAATAGAGTTTTCTATTTAATGATGTCAATTTCAAACTTGCCAGTTGAACTAAAAGTTGGGACACTGTACCAATTTCAGGTTATTTTAAGAGTACTAAAATTAAAGTAATAAATTAAGTTCTTTAAATTGAATTGAAAAAATAGATTATTCATTAATTATATTTTAATTATTATCGTTGAAATTATATTTATATACATGTGTGTATGTGTAAGTGTATAGAAGATAACTTAATAAATGTCAATCATATGTAATTTCAATAAAAGCAAAAAATAATTTTAAAACTAAGGAGTTTGTAGAAGTAAAACATAGATTTTTTCTCTCAAGTTGCTACAAAAACATTTTATTATGAACTGTGAGGCATTAATTACATTTACTATTTTAATTTGATAAGACAGTCTCGCAATAAGATATAGTAAAAAGCCCTTCTAATTTTCGTAGATTCGCGTTAAGGTGAATGATGAAAATTATCTTTTTTTTTTGTGGAACTCATGGAATAATCTGTAAACGGAATACCTTTATATTTAATAGTAAACTGAACAAAACAAACCTTTTGACTGATGTTCAGTACATTTTCTTGTCTACATCCGTCACTTTAGTCTATTAACATTTTGTCATTCTATTTTCATCTTTTTTACACTTTCACTGTAGGATGGTTTGCGCAATACTAACAGCTGTTAATATTTAATAGAAATTAAACTATTTTTTCTTCCATGAATACAATTTTAAATTATTCTATAATTCAATTTTCAAATAATAAGTTTAGTCTATTTCCAACAAAATAAATACAATAATTTCCAAAAATTCAAAATTTTCTCTATTTTAATATATTTCATTTTGGACTACAAATTTAATATTTTTAATAACAAAAATCTACGCAGAGACTTTTTCTCTGCCATACCTTATCACGTGACCAGCCACCGGTGACGCCTGTGTCTTGTACTTGGAATATTACATCACTTTACGAGATTAATTTTCTTCGATTTGTCCGGATTTTATAATTGTTCACTTATTTATTGTTTTGCTGTAAGCATCACCTGTCTTACTTTTAATAACACTCATGTAAGTTATTTTATTATTAAATACTGTAAGTTTGTGACAATGATTCGATTTATTTTTACTTTTATTAATTGATATAATACAACCATGCTTTTTCCTGAAATATTATAAAACCAAATTAATTTTACAGATTAAACTCTAAAATCGAAAATGACTCCACCATCTTTCAGCGACCTCGGCAAGGATGCCCGAAATGTATTCAATAATGGTTACGTTTTTGATGTACTCAAATTAGATTTAAAAACTAACCAAAATGTTGAAATCAAAGCCGGAGGTACACAACACTTGGCATCTGGTGCTGTAAATGCTAATTTAGAAACCAAATATGTGATCAACAAAAATAAGTATCGTAAGTTAACTTTTATTAAAAATTTCAATTAAAATTCACAGCAAGGACAGATTAGAAGTATATTCATAATAACTTGTTCTAAGTACAGTGCTAAGATATGAACTTTGGATATTACTACTTATGATAAGACGTAAAATATATTAACAAGTGTTTAGTACCTAGAAAGCAACTATTGTGTAACTAATTGAATTATGTATAATGTATTTATATATCATTTATGATTAATTTTAAAAATTAATTTTTTGTTGTCTATTGAAATTATAAACAAAAATAATTTTTTTTCCCAAGTCGAGGATGCTGAAAACATTTACGTTTTTTTAGGCTTTATCAGAATAGATTTAGAACTTTCTTTTTCCTAAAATATAGTAATCAATTCAGAACTAATGTCACAATCAGGATTTATTTTTGTGGGGTATTTTAATTTTAAAAATATTGTGAATATTTCATAATATTATTTTAAATTTAGGTTTATGATAAAAAAAAAGTGCTTAATTTAATAATTTAACAATTGTTATATTTCAAGATTAACAAACTATTTTAGTGGGTTATAAACCACTCATCCCTTCCTGGTTGCACCATTATTTAGAATACATTTAATATGTAAAAAATTAAGTATAGATTTTTTATATACCCTTGTTTTTAGAATTGAATCATTAGAAATTTCCAATTTTTTTCAGTTCTCACTTTTGTTGAAAAATGGAATACAAATGATGTGATGACAACTGAAGCATCAATTAGCGGATTATTACCCGGAGTTAAACTAGTAGCTGATGGCACGTTTGATCGCAAAAAACAGTGAGTTAAAATTTTAATTATATTAAAATATAAAACACATTATAATTTTAACTTTTATTATGTAGATCCAAAGCAGTTAAAGTGAAATCAGAGTTTAAAAATGATTATGTTTCAGTTAACTTAGACACTGAATTCCGTGGATTAAAACCTTTAATTAATGCATCAGGGGTTGCTGCCTACAATGGTATACAATATCAAAATTATTTTTTTAATAAGTTACAAATAAAGGAAAATTATATTTTTACATAACATAGGTTGGTTGGCTGGTTATAATGTAAAATATAATACTAATGATAATGAACTGCAATCTAATAATCTGGCTCTCAGCTATATTGCCAAAAAATTTGTCTTTACTACAACTGTGTAAGTAAAATATATTTTTCTGTTAGTACTTAAATTTATTTTATATTACTAAATTACAGAAATGATTGCAAAGTTTTTGGTGGCTCAATATTCCAAAAATTATGTGACAAGACAGATTTAGGTTTGCAAGTATCATGGTCTTCTGAGAGTAATGACTCATCTCTTGCAATAGGAACTCAATATCAACTGAATAGTGATGTTAAATTACGTGCTAAGATTAACAATAAAAGTCAATTGTGTTTGGGGAGTGGAATTAAAGTGAAAGAAGGTTAGGCATTATTTTTTAATGATTTTTACAACAAAAAAAAACTCATATTTTTTTGTTGTAGGTGTTACATTAACATTAGCAAGTATGTTCGAGTGTCGTACATTCAACCAAGGTGGTCACAAATTTGGAATCGGATTAGAACTTGCATTATAAAGAACTAAATATTTGTTCAACTTGTAGACAAAATTAATTGTCAGTAAAATTAGGAATTCAATTTAATCATAAGAATATTTTTTATTATAAAATAGAAAAAATCAGTGTATTTATTTATATTAGGACATGGTTATATTTAAAAAAAATTAAAATTTTTCTGTTAAATTAAAAAGCCATTTGATCATTCAAGTGTTTATTCATCCAGTCACGAATTGCTGGGTCTGCTGACATCAGTTCAATAATATGATTAACATGGTAACACAATGCTTCAATTTTTTTATCCCATGTTGGAAGTAATTTTTGAGCTACACAGAAATAAAAGAATAATTTCAAAGCAATTTGTCATGCAATTTAAAACTTACATTTAAAATGTACATAACACTCAATTTGATCTATAGATCCTTCCATACGTCCTTCGGATATCATTTGCCCTGCAATTTTTTCTGCTTTAATAGGTTCTATGCCTAATAGTCGACCTAGTTCTTCAATTTTCATGTTTTTATAAAGTTTACTAGCAGATAATAAATTATGTTCTATTATGGCCCTATCCAATATAGTGGATCCTAGAAAAAAAAATTATTTAATAATCTTAATTGTTCTATTAAAAACTACTTGTTTACCATCAACAGTTTTAGCTTTTTGATGAGGTTGAAGCATTGCATCAAGTTGAATGATTTCAGAATGCCTAATAATGCGATCCAAGTACATTTTTTCAAGTATGGAAAATTCTGGTAAACTCTGGCATCTTTCATCTTTAAATAATGTAGCTAACATACGGCTACGCTGTTGACCTAAAGTATTGATGCATCATTAATTTCCTTTTTTAATATAAATACTGATTATATGATCATACCAGCAGATGCTAATACTGTACAAATAAGTGCATTTTTTAAAGCAGACATGCGTTCCTCTTCTGATATTATAGTCTTATAAGATAATTCATTGTATCTTTGAGCAGCTTCAATGAATTTTCGTCTATAGTCTAAGACTCTAGCATAACATACTTTATAGCATATTTGTAATTTTTCATTTTTTGATTCAGTCTACAATTAAAAATTAACTTAATAGGTTATAAAGATATTAAATTATTAATTACTCTACTTGTAATAATGATGCCCTATTGATGTAGGATTCTGCTAACATCGGATCATCATCTTCTAAATATAAACGAGCAATTTTCATATAAGTTTCTAACTTGTAATCAACTGTATATTTTCTAAATAAAATAATTAGAATAGTTATAAAAATTACATTAAAAGGCTTATATTTATTAATACTTTTGACCAGTTTCTAAAGGAATACCAACAAGTACAGATGCTGCTTCTTTCCAGTTGTTTTCTCTTTCATAAATAGAAGCTAAATGTTGACGAACATTAGCAACTTGCTCTTCAAAAGAAATAACTCTAGGTTGAATCTAAAAATAAAAAACTATAAAACATATAGAGAAAATGATTACACAGTAAACCACCGAGTAATCATGCAATGACTACCAAAATTGAAGACTGCGGTGTTTTACAAAACATTAAAATTGAGAAAATTATCAAGATTAGTAATAGTATTAAGCATGTCAGTCTTACATAGTAATTCAATCAAAATATTATGTAGCTTGTATTTTTAGTAATTATTCTGCAGTAAAATAAAAATTGAAAGAATTTTAAATAAAAGAAAATAAGTTGCACAATTTTAGATAAAAAATAAAACATCTCAATCTAATTTATAATATCTAGTTATATAAGTTATATAATACTTGTACTAAGAAAGATAACCTAACAATTTTAAAGGCATAATATAAACCTTTTTAGTAACAAAAAAATACAAAATCTGATCAGCAATCAAATAAATGATTACCTATTAATTCTAATAAAAGCAGTATACATTTTTATTATAAAACAAAATAAAGTTTAAAAGTAAGACTATGACTAGAATTCCTTTAAAAACTATTATATTTATATACTATTCAATTAACTTCTATATCCCTCATACAAAAATACAAATTTGTTACTTATAACAAAAATACATATACATAAATATAAATGGATATTGAAAATAATTTACTTTTTCTAAGGTAAAATGAGCTAGTTGTTTAGATTGTCCATCAGGTAAATCAGGTAATAATTGAGTACTGACATCAGACAATATTTGACGAGATATAACCAAACTCACATTTTCATTAACAACTATTAACAGTACAATATTCAATTTTATAATCTATCAATATTAAAATTATTTCAACAATATAAATACTAAATTTGAAGTATATACTCACTGGCTTCTACAAATACTTTTAATGCTTCAATTATGTTATCACCAGTGTTTGACAGTACATTATTCAATAAACTTCTATATCTATAATACAATAATTAACATGATTTTTACATAGGAAATTGTTAATTCACTCATATTTCATCACATACTTATCTACTTGATCTTTATGGGAAGCTTGTGCATTAGACAAATGACTAAGGTGTTGGCGTATTTGAGCAATAGTAAGAGACATAATAATAAAACAAACACTTATGACACCAGAAATAGAAATTAAAACTTAAAATTTTTATTTTTTATGTCTTCAAATTAATTTTTCAAAGAATGTATTAATTAACGCAATTATAATGCATTGGAAATAGGCCGGTACAACATATACGGTATCAGAATTTATAAAAGTAATCAGACAAACGATAAAAATTATTATCAAAATATATTTATCAAATCGGTATCTATATCTTGAAAATGTTCAATTTTAATTAAATTAAAAATTTTAATTTTAATTTAAATTACATAAAAATCTGTCTAAAAGTGCTAAAAATTATTATTTTTATTCTTTTTTAATTATTAATAATTAAATTTAATTCTATTGTTAATTCTAAAATATTTATATTTACAAATTTTGAGATAATTTTAATTTTGGCATTAGGTTGATTAATAAACTTTTACTATGGTACATATTATTTATATTTTGTTTATTCTTAAAATTTTAGATTTTCATTAAATTTATTTTCAGCTTTTGAATGTTTGCGATCCAATTTTCAATTCTAAAATTCAATTGGATGGCAGCTGTATATCACATGAAGATTATTCTGTGGAAAATCTTATTTCTTCAGATATTCAATTACAAAAAAAAGGATTCCTTTGTGAAACTTTCATAAGGCCTCCAGTTAGCTTAACCATTACATTTCCTTATACTTTTGATATTAAATCCGTAATAATTAACACAAGAGTTGGGGGACAAAAATCTACTGGAATTCAATTAATGTCTAATCGTAAAGACAGTTTACTAAGTATTTGTTCAAAAATTACTGATAAAGATCTTTTAGTATTTCATGATATCAAAACTGATCTTAGTTCTTATGGAAATAATTGTGATTTTTGCTGCTTTAATATATCAGCTAGTAGACTCCTCAGATCTACCAAAAAGTTAACTTTACGTATTTTTAAAACAGCCAATTCTATTCCAGCTATTGGTAAACTTGAAATTTGGGGTATTTTTTCAACTTCTGTGCCAACAAATATTAAACAAGAATTAATAAAAAAATGGGAAACTTGTAAAATTATCCAAACTCCTAACAAATTATTAACTCAAAGTAATCTTGTACTCTCATGTAGATCAGAAAAAAATGTTGAACATTTTTCAATACCTGAAGATTTTCTGGACTCAATTACTTATGAAGTAATGATGTATCCAATGGTGTTGCCTTCAGGAAAGTATGTTGACCAATCTACAATAGATAAGTGCATACAAAATGATATAATGTTTGGACGGAAACCTAGTGACCCATTTACTGGAATACCATTTTCAGACATACTTAAGCCTAAACCTGTACCAGAACTAAAAGGACGAATGGATGCTTTTATACTAAAACACTCGGACGAGGAAATTATTAAAAGTCTTCCACGAATTTTGGGTAAACATAGTATTAATTTTTATACTGAGAGGTGTACAAAATTTCCTAAAGTTCAATGTAGTAAATGTCATAATGAAGAATATCTGTATCATTTATTATGTCAGCATATTTTATGTAAAAATTGTTTACAAGAAAAAATTGAATGCAATGTGTGTTGCAAAATATTTGATAAAAGTCAAATAAAAAAGTACAATTTTCAGCCATAGATATATAATGATAATTCATGGTATTTAATAATTAAAAATGAATGCTTTACAAATGAATTATATTAACTTAGTGGAATGTTCTCTGAAAAAATTGTTTGAATATTTTATCATGTAAGAGGGTGACATGATTTCAACTTCACTAATTATATGACAGTTCAAGGATTCATTAAGAAAATACTAAGATTATGACTTTATCATATAGTTTTTCAACAGAAATATTTTAAAAAGTAGATAAAACATTTGTAAAATACACATTTTTCACGGGGGTAATAAATTAACGACCCGTTAAAATATATGAGAAATTTTATTAATATAAATAAAAATTTAATTTATTGCTCTACCTTAAAGATTATGTATTTTATAATTATAAAAGTAAAAAATATTTTTTTATCATGTATGTGTTGATTACTTTAGATAAACTATTTAACAATAATAAAAGTACATACACTTTTGAGTGAATTTATGTCATGAAAAATGTTTTGTTGTATACAATTTTTTTATTTAATATCAATTTTAGAATCTTATTTAAGGAATTGACAATTTATTTTACTTTTTAGATTATATGTTAAGCGAAAGCTATACGTTTTACTATGATGTTTTTATTTTTTTATTAAAACTTTTTTTTTTTGTCAGATTTACTAACATAATCTGAGTGGATATTGTTGTATTATCCCCTATTACAAAAATAATTATACAGCAAGGATACAATTTTTTTTGTTCTAAGAGGGAAATGCAAATTTTTCTTGTGCAATTCCTTCACCTACAAGTGCAAAACCATAATTACGACACTGGTCTGTTATTGTAAATCTTACTGTAAAAAAATTTTCAATTATCATTTCATCAAAAGATTTGAAATATTTAAAATTAAAAAATATTAAAAATATTTAACTGTTAGTACTTATCAGGGTTGTTACATTTTAAACACCAAAAATTTCAAAATTTAAATAAGTCTTATTTAAAATGGTTTAAACTGCTTATTTTTGGTTTAAACAGGTCTTTTTTAAAAAAATTTTTTTTTATCAATCCTTATATTTTTGTTTAGTAGGAAACATTGCCCTCAAAAATTTAAAAACTATTATAAATTTGATTCGTTAACAAAAAAATATAAAAAAATTACTCTTACAATCCCAGCTGATTTGAGCTTTTTTTTATATAATTTTAATATAACGTTCTGAAGAATAAGTATTGTAAGTCAAACTTTTTATTGTAAAAACTAGAACACTATATATACAATAATATGCGAGATGGTTACAGTGGTGTAGCCAGAATTATTGCTTAGATGATGAGGACGTTTTCTTTTGATTCTTGATTTATCACATATTACTTGTCTTATTAATGTCAAAATATTATACTGTTAATCGTAATAATTAGCCAAAAAGAAGACCATTAGTTACTCCACTGTCACTTACATAATTTAATTAAATAAAAATAAAAAATTAACTTTTAAGATAGAAACATACTTTTTTGTAAAAATTATCAATTTTTATATCATAAAATATGTTCTTTTTAATTTTTTATACTAAGAAGTGCTCTTATAGTATGGTCTATTTAAAAATCTTGATTTCCTTTTAGTTTAAATGTAACCCAAACTTCAACTAATTTTCATGCAACTTTCTTGATGTATATTTGCATCAAAACGTTTTATAATATTGATTTAAATGATTAAAGTTTAATCATAAACAACATAACGGTCTACAATTTAATTTTGAATTAAATTCCACAGTTTCAAGCATATATGTCATCTATTATATACTTAAATGCACATAATTATAAAGAAAAAAAAAGTAAGAGATATTGTTGTTTATAGATATTTTAAACAAATACACATATCTGTCTTCTTTATTTCTTAATTAATAATACAGTATATTTTGATAAATAATATTTATTCAATAATAACATAAATCTATATTTTAAGAAAGATAATTTATTATAATAAAATCATCTTATGGCACAATAGCCTGATATACATCAAATTCGGTTGTATTCAATAAAACTTTTTGGTAGACAATAGTCAACTACAAACAAAACTAGCATTAAAATTTTAATTCAAAATATTTGAGTGTATTAATATTAATAAATATACATTTATTTAATACCTATTTTTATTTACTACAAATGTCTAAGATATAACAAAAAAACAAACACGACTATTTTGACGTTGAGATTCGATCAACAAAAAAATGTAATTAAAGCCCTTAAAAATCATCTGTTTTAAGGTTCTTAAGTACTTATAAAAATCTTAAAAAAAAACTTATTTTTAATAAATATCAATATTTATACACGCCATTTCAAGTTCATAAATATATTTATAAATATAGATTAATAAATTTATCTATTACTAACAAAATAAATTTTGTAAATTATTTTATCTTATTCTTTAATATTTCATAACAAAAACAAACATATTATTTAAACTAATGTAGAACAAACTGGCATGGGTCGGTTTTGGCACCTGGCATGGTATAAATATATTATACTTTTATTTTATTTAATACTGAACACTTCCGTCTAAATAATTTTTAATAAAACATTTATTGCACGCTACATTAAATAGATCTTATAAATATTAATAATATCAATAAAAAATGTTTTCTTCATTATATTGTATTCAATTCTAACTAGATGAACTTGATAAGTAGAGTGATAAAAAAAGTTTGTTCAACATAATATACTATTAATTGTCGTACACTTGCATTATTAAATCATAACACAATTTTGAAATATAAATAAAAATGCTAAGACTAGTGACAAAGTAAACATATAACATACCTATGTCAACTGAATGCAGAAATTATTAATAATTATTTAATAATTATTTCAAAGGCAAATGACTCAACGAAAAAAATATCCATTTACTATTTAGTCTTTAAACTGAAGTATTTCTCAACAATATTAAATACTATAATAATAATAAAAATAATAATATAAATAAAAACAAATATTATTATACGAAAATTATTAGACAGACAGAATAAATGGTTAGAAAATAATTCTATGTGCAACATTGCGATTTTATTTTAAAGTGTATATGAGTGCAGAATGATATTTGTTTAGTTGTTAATTATAGTTCCGTCCGGCAATCGTCGCACTTCGGCTGCAGGCTGCATTTTGTGGTGTTAAAATAAAGGTCCAGTATGTTAGATCTCCGCAAGCCTTTTTGAGGTTAAATAAAAAATAAAAATAAAACATGTTAGTACTGAAATATTTTTATTTAAATAGCAGCTATAGTATTATGTTCTATTATTGTATTAGTATAAGTACGCTGGTGTCAAACATAAAAATTGTTTTTGCCATGTATAGTTTCTGACATTTTATTAGTGTGTAATTTTACTACCATGAGTGTAAAAAGCGTTAAGTGAGTAAAATAAATAATAAAAGAATTTTGCTTGCGCACAAGATATTTATTACTAATAATAGTTGTATGCAATTATACTAGTGCAAACTCAAGAAATACACATTAAAATATATTACTGCATCTTTGATACACAACTACCTTCACCAAAAATTTAGACATTATAATATAGTAATTTATCTGCAATAAAACTGTTAAATACAATATTAGAACACAATACATGAAATTATACTTAAATTAGGTTATATCTACAAAAACTAAACATTTTAAGTAGCACCTAAACCTGAATCATTGATTAAAGAAAAATTATTTTATCAAAGTCTGCGTTTATTATATTATAGTATGAATAATTTGTAAAAAAGTTAATGCTCAAAATAAGGAAGATATGTGACATTGGCATGTGTGTATGTATTATTTACAGTCAATAATATATACCCACATACACAGAAATACATACATAAATTACACAAGTAATAATAAAAATATCACAACCAAGAGAAAATTAAACAAGAAATAAATTTTTAAACGAGGTAATTGAAATAGTGAGAAATTCATGGACTGAAACTCGAGTAAACACTTAAATGCCCCCATTGATCTATAACCTAAATAAAAAAACTAATAGCAACTGACCTTAAGAATTCAAAGAATTTTTTAAAATTTTGTATATAATTTTTTAATTGACAATCGAAGTGCCAACCCTCTGATATGGATGATCCCTGATCTGAGTCAAATGCCTTCTTTGTTTAGCGACCTGAGCCGCTGCCGCAACTGCGGCTGCTGCACCTGCTATAAACACATTATTTTTGTTTATTGAAAAAGTCAAAAATGTAGAATAATAATATTAAGAAATCCAGGTTCCATTTACAGCAATTGACACACCATACAATGCATACAAATTAAAAACAATAAACATAATTATAATGATATAAATACATAAATATTTATACATAGAATATATCTATAACCATTTATAAACATAGATGTGTACTAAATAATCACAAAATTTAACATAAATAAAAATAATCAGCCTGTGTCAGGTTTTTTAATGACTTTTAAAGTAACAGTACAATATAATATAAAAACAATAAAATTAATTCTTAAAAACTGATTTGTCATGGTATTTCATTCTTATAACAATAAGGAACTTTAGGTGTCATAAGTGTATGTCCTTCTTAATAAGTAAAACAACCTAAATGGTGTTTTTGTGGTCCCTCAAGTAATGTGTTAATATTGATCCTTAAAGGTGTAATTTTTTATAATAGTTAGAAATGTATTATTTATGTTAGAGTCACACTTATTTTCTATTTTGCTATAAATTCAAAAATATGTAGTTCATCGGTTAGTTGACGATATTTAAGAATAAAAATGATGCACATTACATGGAATAAAGTTAATTTACTAAATAAGTAAAAGTGGTCATTAACACTATTAGAATAGTTTCAACGGTTAATTTCTTTGCATTAGCAAGTACTTGAGGAGTGTTACTAAGTGAAAAAAATTTAATTATTATATTAAAATTTATTAGTACACACCTAGTTTTATATGAAAAATTTATTTAGTTGAGTTAGACAAACATCTACCTAAACGCAAAAGAACAGAGGTAAAGAAGGGATACAACTTAACTTAATAAAGATATAAACTAAGAATTAACTTAAAAGTATATATAAAAATATTAAAGCTATATAATAAAATTGATTTAAAAGCGCGCAAAAAGAATGAAGTAAAAAACAAAACAAAAAATAAATAATTGTAATAATAAATAATAAGGAATACCAAAATAAAATAAATTCCTAAGATTATACAAATAATAAATAAGATAGCACCTCACAAAAAAATAAAAAGGGTTGGATGGCCAAATATTAAGAATGATAGGCTAACGTTGATTTGGCCAGTGGCGGTAGGTGAGCCCTTGTAGTTCTGGAACCATTAGCATGTATCTGGTCGAACATTCTTTTAATATAATCATAAAAATAAATTAAAATTAAAAAAAATACCTCATGAACATAATTCTTTAAGTAAAAAAAACAACAAATGATTACTGATATTTTTTCTTCTAAATATTGTTTGAAAGTTAATATATTTTTTCAGTCTTATTAAGAAAAAAATAATTATTTGTTCAGTGGTATTCTGATTGAGGATTTTTATTAATTATAATTTTGAATACTGTCCTGAATAATGAACCTCAGTCTCTCAAGTGCATTCAACCTTTATTTATCTTAATTGTTATTATTATTTTTTGTTAACAAACAAACAATAACGCACCGGAGTGATCGGTAGGAGTATATTCTGTAATCAGTGGAGAGCCTGCTAACGCATAGTTTGCATAATCAGCATAGGGAGTATAGATAAGACCAGCAGCAGCAGCAGCTGCTGCTGCATGATGATGATGGTCAGCAGGAGATAAAAGTTGAGGTGCACCTGGATTTCCAGCAGTAGTTGTTATGGCAGTAGGTATACGGGGAGATAATATAAGAGGTGCAGCTAATGGAGTAGCTGCTTGAGGACGTAGAGTAGTTGCTAAACCACCCATTCCATGAGGCGACAATAATCGCTGTGTTTCAGCTGCTGCTGCAACAGCCATTCTTCGCCATTCCTCATCACAAGCTAAAAATAAAAATCAAGCATTATTTAATAAAAAACAAAAAGTAGTTTTCAAATTTAATATTTACCAGCTGCAGCTAAAGCTTTGGCGTTTGAATCTCTGTATGTTCCATTAATTATGGCAAGTTCCATGAGTTGTCGTTTTTTCAATTCATCTTCACCATCAGCCTAAAACACAATAAAAACGTTTTAAGGCAAATTTATTTAAATATTGAACAAACAGATTAATGAACTTACTGGTATCAATAGCCTTTTAACTTCATCAATAGCTCTTTTTAATTTGAGCTTAGCGCGATTTTCAGTATCTTCAACAGAAATTAAAACATGCAGCTCTTCACTGAGATGTTCCCAGTTGGGTTTACCTCGATTTTGTTCCTCCTTAAAGAAAAAATTCAATTTAAATAAATGCAACAAACATAACAATCAATTATTTTCTTACTAATAGTGAGTACTTACAGCTCTGTTACAAAATAGCCCAATTGTTAGCAATTAAAAAAAATTGTTTTATACAAAAAATAATAAGTTTAATTTAACTATTTAACAGTGGATGTTAATTATTTAACCGTTGAATACCTTTTTTTTGTCGCGCATGGAACCTTTTCCACGAACCATGATTTTGCATCCTGTTTCTAACTCGAGCTGTTTAGCGGTCATACCACGCGGTCCCAAAATTCTTCCCACAAAATTGAACTAAAAAATATAAAAATTTATTTAAAAAATTGCTATGAACATATTACACTCTCAATTGAATAACAAAAACGAATTCGCCATAATAATATATTATCAAAATCATCGCGCACACGAGGTTTGAATTTGGTAATTAACCTTTATTTAAAAATCTCTTGTTTTTATTACACACATTTTGTAAAACGACATTTATTACAATTGATTTCAGTTTATAAGAGAAACACAAATATATTCGAGTCCGTGTAATATAAGCTTTCCATATCGCTGATAAAACTAATCATTTCAACAATACCCGACATTCTCGAGTGATCATTATATATATATATATGTATGTATTATATAAAGTAAAGAAAATATTTTTGAGTTTTATTTTACAATTTGAATTATAAACAAAATGCTCAGCACGTGCGAACACCACTTATATATTATACATATATATTTTAAATGGACGTGTATTAGTAATTTTTTTACAAAATTTAAACAAATCATCATATGATTATACTGATAATCATATTTACAGGTTATTTTTCGTCAAGATAATTAGAAAAAATTAATAATTATATTCTGAAATGACTATTTTCCAATAAAAGGTTTGTAAACTAAAAAAAGTTCACCTGTCAAAATTTGTTTGAATATTTTATATAAAATGTTTAAAAATAATGTTGATTAAATTTTAATTATTAAAAGAACTATATACAAAGAAATATTATATAAATATATATATAAAAATAAGAGTAACTGAATAATCATTCTATAAAAACAAGGCTGTTTGGTTGGTCACCAAAAAAAAAAACAAACACCTAAATAGCTTTTTTTTTTTTAGCGACGACCTACTTGTCTCATCGAGTTCAAATTTTAATTAGTATAATCATAATAATTCACAATAACGAGCAAAAGCAGCAAGAAATAAATCATAACAGCTGCACATAACAGGCTAATAGCGACAGAGTTAATGAATGGTCGACTATTAAGTTGGTCCAAGTAAAACGCCCAACCAAGAACAACAGTAAACACGACGATTCCAGAAAAGGATTAATCGCAGTCACTCTTACACTCACGAGTCATGCATGCGGTCTGTCATATATTAATAACAACATGCAAATTAAGAACGAACACAGATTCTGTCGCCATATGCGATGAATGTTTATGCGTTTTATATGAAATATTCGTCTCATTACGGAAAAAGGCGGTGAAAAAATGAAATGATAACAAAAGATGAAAAAAACGGCACCGATTGCGCGTTGTAAATACATCGGTGAGCAAAGGAAACGGTAGAGAGTGCGAGGGCGCCGCCATTTGCCATAGCCGGTTGGCCATATTCAGCGTTGTCACGATCCTAAAAAAGAACCCGCGCAACCATATGGTCTATCCTCCGGTGGCCGCCGCTGTCGCGTTTTCTCTGGCACGTTCTTTAACATTTCTGTACAATATTCATATGTGGGGACAGCGATGATTTTTTACACGACCAAAATAATATTCGTTATTATAAAACATGATATACAAATGTGTATTTGATAGCACTGTCAGTGGTATGGAAATCTAATAGCGTGGGATCTCTGGTTTTGGAAACGCCATCGCACATTCTGTCGACGATATTTTCTAGAGCGACAATTTCGTAAAATATAATCGGCACCTCTCTCTTTCTTCCTTAATTAATAACACTTTTTTTCCTGACTATATTCGTGCACGTAACAGCTACGATTGGTCACCTCACCCGTGTGGGTAATCATTAAAAATGGTAGATTTCGATTAGTATGAAAAAAAGTTGTATCCCCTAGTGTCCATTAATGGGCATACACGGTCGTCCGGATGCGTAAACGACTTCTTTTGCCACACCGATAAGACCATCCCATTCAATTACAATTATACAGACTGCGTTACTGTTATTTTACGTTAGACTTTCGATTAAACAGCAATAATTTTTAATTTACCCAAAAGTCAAACACATTTATGGACTGTTAAAATGCTTTGTTAGTTGTTTTCATCTCGTTACAATAAATCAACAAGAGGAGGAAAAGCGCCAAATGATTAAATCATTTAAGAAATATTTCATCAAACTCCGCCATAGTCGATAAATTGGCACATACGGGTATGACTCACATCAACAACTCTGCGGATTTAACAACAACGTAACCTTCAAAGATGTCAGAATAAAAATTTATCAACGCTTTTTTGCCGACGATTAACAACCAAAAAAATGTCATCTCTATTTCGCCTTAAACAACTGAGACTCATAAACGATTTCTATCATGAATATGTATTGCGAGTACTCGAAGAAGAGCCGTGTCGTTAAATAAGCACTAAAACCATGGGACAAATTCACATTGACAAAATAAAAGTACCATTGTTCGAGTAAAAAAGTTAAGTGGTCGTGAGGCAACCATTAATTTATATCAATAAACTATTACGCTTTACGAACGAGAAACCGTTTCAGTATTGAATGAGCAAATAGTGGAGGGGGGCAAAATTTATAGGCTTCGACATTTCGTCATATACATGGAAATAATATTTCTCCAAGGACAATATTTTCAAAATGAAGTGTAAACAAATAATTCTCGACATTTCGTTTAAGCCCTAAAAATGTAAGGCCAACTCCTCGAACAACATCGCTCTTCCAGATTTGTACACAAACACACACATGTTTAAGGGCCTTACGATTCGGTTAACAGGTACCGACGAGGGGTAGTTCAGTAACTATTAACGACTTGCTGGGGGGGATAAGGGTCTGCATCGTTGATCGTCGACAGGAAATACACACATGCGGTGTACATGCATTACGTGTATGTGTGCGTACGAGAGGATCGCTGTGGAACGGCATGTGTGTTAAATTAAACTCACACGCGGAGAACGAAAATTATTATGTTTCCTTAGCCAAGGTCTCAACACTTAACAGATACACGAGAAGGCATTCAAAAAAAGCCAGAAAACCAATACGGTCAGCACAACGTCCTCCTCATGCGATATTGCATACGCAACGGTATCTCAGTAGCAATACTCGTTCGACGACAAGGTTGCTGCTGGTTTTAATAGTGTTACACACGTTTGAACAATGTCCACTATAATGGCACGGTATCCTAGTGCGCGCGACAGTTGATCCCTCCGTTTAAAATGTTTACGTGACATGCACCACATTTAAATGCGCTACGCCCAAAACCAAACTACACGATATTTACTGTAGCGCACCCGAAAGTGTTGGATCGGATCCACGAGGGACATGCGATACTCGCAGAGAAGGAAACACGGCATTTGGCACGACCGCGGGACGTGTGGGAGGCAGCGGGACAAGTTTTTTCTATTTTTAACGCGTGTCATTCATTTCCTCACACGACCGTACGTATTACTGTATGAAACGGATTATTTTTAAAAACGTCTTTCGGATGCGACTTACCTCTGGATGATCCTTAACCGGCACGAACACTTTTTCGGTAATGGTAACAGGCGTGCCATCCGGTTCCGGTAATACCAGTGGTTCTTTTTTGACGCCGTTCACTTCGAACAGGCTGGCTCGGACTTTGGTAATTTCTGAAAAAAATATTTTGATAAATTGTTATTTAAAAATATCTGTGTAAATTAATAAATTCGAAAGACTTTTCTTTCAAAAAACAACAATATGCGCACAAAAAGTGTCATCGTCGTCGGACGATTATCTAGACACGACGCCTTTTACTCGTCACCGAAAAACACATGGTCAGTGTAAACGATTTTTGAGCGGTAAATGACAAAGCTCCAACTAATTGTGCAGTCGTCGTTACTTATTAAATAAATATGACTAATTCGAAATTTTGAAACAATCGAAAAAAACGTTTCATTCCGTTCCATAAAAGGCGAAATTTCGTCTCAAAACGACGTTATTCCTGTAGTACATATCGAATTATTTACTAGCCGACGTTTCCAGCATAAATGCTCTGGCCCGCATGCAAAGGATTCACAATAGTCGAATGACCTAATCGCCAACCGGTAAATATTGGTCACATCAAATTGATGGCACTCGTAATTGTTTTTTAATAATAAAACTTCTTTCGAAACCGATACGACCGAGGCGTGGAGAATTTAGTTTGGGCGTAGAGAGAGGGTACACTCTAGTGGGCGTATTGAGAAGAGCAACGGCGGCGGCGACGCTGATGCGCCACCGACCGTAACGCAACCGCCGCTCCTCTTTCTCCTCCACGTGTAAGCGACAAAACGCCGCTATAATAATCCTCGAATCACACAAAGGCTCGACTTCCTTTCCGTACGCATTACCCATACACGGGTGCGGTCCCACGCACAAATATAACATTATTATTAATACTACACATCATTACACTGCTGTAATGCAATATCGAATTGTTTTAGTCGAAACAACAACGACTTGGTTAGAGGCCACAGATTGACGGACTACAAGCACACCCACGTGCTCAATGGCATCAAAATTGTAAATCGAGTTTGACTTTTTCAAACAACAGTGCGCGTCTAGTCGACGACGTGCTTTATTATCGCGGCGATGGCAATAGCAGAACAGCACTCGGGGAGATTCCATCACTGAAAGAATTGATTTTACAAACCGGTTTCACCGTAACCCGGACGGTGCGCGAGAGGGGCGAGACGCGTCCAAGGTCCTTTCTTATAAAACCCTTTTTTTCTTAAAAATAAACAATAACAGGAGAAAATCAAAACGCCCGCGGGGACGACGAGTACAAACGAGTTATTTTTGAAAAATAACTTCGGCGGAGTCTATATGTAACTCTTTAATAAACAGAATCCACACGAAACCAGACAACCTACAAAACCAACACGAATGCATTGTTTTTCCACCTCTAGCAATAGTAGTCGGCTTGACGACGACGCTCGTGTCAGATGAGTCGCATATTTCACATTAGTAGATTCGCGTTAGTTTTTTAAAGGTTTAATCGTTGACTTTAGCAGTTATTTCGGTACCGCCGCGATAAATGATATCGTCGTAATTCATAGTATAATTTTTGATGCATCGACACTGTTTAATCATATTTTCATTTGTGCAGAAAATCTACTGCAGAAAGAAGAGGTCAACAACGGTAATTTCTTCAAACTAGAGGGGACATCGGATCAGACAACTATTACCGGTAAAACAATACGCGCAGACGACAGTAACCAACAAGTCATATATTATTTTAGTCGGAATGACACGAGATCTTCTATTATATTACATGTAGTACGATATACATACGTACACCGTACTCTGTACGGTTCACCACATCGTTCTCTTCGGTGTGTCTGCAATAACCAATTCGAGCGTAACTCCTATCAGTCATCGCTTATTAGCGATACTACTAGCCCGTCGAGAAAATTGGCCGACACGAATTACCTAATTACGAGATAATGTGAAATTGATTCGACGACTACACGCATTGTCCCGCACGCATCGGCGACGAACATCAACCCTCATCCCTTAATCGATCTTCATAAGAGCATAATTTCTACAAATTCCGTATGCGGGCGGCAATAACGTTTGATGGCTGCACAAATAATTGTTATCTTTGGTCGGGGCGAGCAATATTTACTCGAGTAAAAAATAAATCTACAAACCATAGCGTTAATCCTTTGAAGGGGAGCGAAAAAACACGCGCTTATTGCAGACGCCAGGTCCAAGAATAGACCCGATGCACTTGGCATCTGCTTCGTGACGGCCATTTTGACTTCTTTCTATATTTGTACACCACGTAGCTATACACAATTTCTCCCGTTCCTTCAAACTGAAGATTGTTTTTATTTCTGTGTTACGAAACTAACCCATAGATAGAATATAATGTAAAAATAATTCGAGTAACATAAGACGTGGAAGTCCTCTGACACGGGATACAGTCCACGATCTTAATACGATTATGAATATTACTATTTTTACACAACCTTGTGCCGTTCGAAAAACGATTGTCGTCAGGGCCAGAGTTTTTACAAATCCATTTTCCACCCGCCGCCAATTGTCACGTGAAACAACGTCCATTAAAAAATATTGAGGCCGACGCCTGTTGGTGGGGACTCTAAAGACGACGTTTGTCTCCCGAAACCACATGACCCGACGATTAATTAACTATTACGATACTGTTAGCTGGCCGCTATTGACAAATTGCACGAACAAAATATAGTTGTAGTAATTTATTAGACACGAGTGAGAACAAATATGTCGGACACAAAAATAGTACCTAATAATAAAATACCAACCAAATATATATATATATATATATTATTTTAACACTACGTCAGTTTTTTAAATAATTTTTTTTTTTTTTTATATATAATTTGGACTATAACTCAATTAATTATTGTTTATATGTCAACTTAATTACATCATTCCAGTTTTTCCAACACAAAGGATAAAGTCTCTAGTGTTTTCGTTGTAAAGTAAACAGGAACTAGTAAATAAAATTCTCATTTGCCAAAATATCGAGTAGTTTTCGCTATAATAACAAAACGCAAATTTCAACTCTAAGATAAAATATATGTTGGACACACATAATATCCGAGTTTTGTTTCTCGTCGTTAGTTAAAAAAAAGAGGGAGAACTATAGACCCGATACAACGTATTCCGGTTTTGTAGAGGCGATTTCCAATGGCGACAACAACGGCCTGCCACTACAATACGTTTTTCATAAACTCTAAACGACCAGCCCCTTATTAGGCATGAGAGTCACGATATTAAGCCCAGACGAGTTTATCCTAAGTAAAATAATCATATACCCGTAAAACCCATTACAATCCAACATTTTCAAATAAATAAATAATATCAGTACTTCGCTTGAACTTATACGCATAACTTGCAAATACAACAGAAAAAAGACGGACATCGTCATGTCCAAAGAGATGATTAGTTAAAAATTTAGCAAATGTGAAAACTGGAGCCCCTTCAGTACTCCGTTTAACATATTCCCCTTCTCTTTTACAAACACACGAACAATGTGAAAGCATCAATGATCTGTCGGTGGCGGACGACAGGAACTTTCAAACCGCATCCATACATAGTAATACAGGTCAGTTAGACGGCGACCGCACTAACAACGATGGACGAATACATGCAGTTGCAATAACCATGTAATTTTTCACAGTAATATCATTTTGAATGTTTATGACAAACGGTCCTTAAGTAGAATCATAACTATTTAATGTAAAACAATATGAATTGACGTAACCAGCTGTTGTTATTAGTGTACCGGAGTATTCCGCTGCGGGTGCTAAACATTGACGACGACAAACAACAGTAATTAGAGTAGGGTTTAATTTCTCTGGTACATAACGGCCAAGGGCGAATGAATTACTTGCAATGGGCTAGCGGAAAAGAGGAGGATCGGATCGACGGTTTCCATGTAGGTCGGCGCCAAAGGGTTTAGGCATGTTAAGTATAACATCATAGTAAAATTATATCAACTATGGCAGGCGGCGCTTTCGCAACTTCCGACACCGCACACCTGTTGAGTTTGACACGATTGCACTCCTTGAGGTCAGTGCGATGACCCATAACGAAACGAACATCCATTAGTACACAGTTAACATACTGGGAGAAGGAAACCACGAGGAAAGTACCTGCTGCTACCCGTACAAGACATTTTCACAGAGATTTGGTCGAAATGAAAAAATATATATTATAAAATGTGGTAGTAAATGGTCATCAGGACAAATCGTTTTTTAACAGATGTAGTAGCCGCTTTCGCTCCATACACAACCGGCGAAAACACGAACAACCAGTATTGGTGTTTTGCTAATTACTTTTTAACTGCACTAAAAGTAACGCAAAATCAGTCAATAGATTTTCTCACAATATTTGCCGAGCCCAAAAAAAAAGACTTTTGACAGCAGAATAATTATCAAAAACATGTCATTAACAACGTTGTTTTAAGTATTAAATCTGAAATCGAATAAGGTCTTATGTAAGAAAAAATAAATACTACCACACAAGTTCAATACCAAAACACCTGAATATAAGTACACACACTAGTTAGACTTTACAATATTTTTTTTTAGTTATAAATGAAATAATATGAAACACGACGTATCATATACACGTGCTAACATTTTATCACTGTAAAGGGGATAAACTCTCTTTATTAATACAAGTACAAATAGTTTGCTTTTATATGACTAAAAATATGACACGGAGAATATTTTTCTACTTAGAATTAGGAANCTAAAAATATGACACGAAGAATATTTTTCTACTTAAAATTCGGATATGAAACAAATATTAACATTGATAATAATTTTTGTCGAGAAAATAATGATGAGTGTAAATGTTATACAATAACGATTAAATGCCGAAGGGTTTTAATTAATTGATATGCATTGGGATGCACTGAAACACAGCACTGAAGTATATAAAGAAAGAACAATTATGAGCGACTTTCTACATAAAAATAACAGTAAAAACTAACAAAGCAAATTAATCATGAAAATAATCGCCAATAACGAGACGTGATTCGACTAGAATTAGTTGGGCATATGATTAATAAACGCAACATTGTAAAAAATAAACGTCGAAAATTAAATAATAGAAGAAGTTAGGAAACAGGCCCATGAAAAAATTATTTTCCTTATCACGGTTTCCGCGTTTAGGTGCCGGCGTGGCAAAGGCGTTTTGGTTCCGCCCCATCGTATCATTGCATTGTAATGTAATATTATGCAAGACAATAGTAAACAACGGGCATTAACTTTGCAGTGATTAAAAAAATATTCCGTACTCGCTATTTTTATTTAACATATACTAATTTGTTACAACAATTTCAATATCTATAACATTATTGTATTTTATGCGGTCGTTTACTTCCTTATCGCCAGTACGTTTAGTTTTCTCACGGCTGATGATGCACAGGAAAAAAAGTTACGAATATACATTGACGACGGCCTAAGCCTATCGCTTTTTTTTTTTTTTTCTAATAAAAATGCACACATGACGCGAACGCCGGCGACGGTGACGACGAAGCGCAAGTCGCAGCCAACAAGGACAAACATGTTGATTAGATCATCGAAAATGATTGTTACTTTCAACAGTAAAATGTTACTTTAGACAAACTGCTTGTTTTATTATTTGTCTACGCAACAATTTTGAAGAAGCCGACCGTAAAAATAAAACAATAATAATACAACTAGTGTGTGTTAAAAAAAAAAAACACGCGCATTCCCGTCGGTTTTTTTTTATTTAACCGCAACAATGGTGATTACCAGTAAGCGTGGGGTGGGTGCGCCGACATCCACTTGTTGCGCAACACCGTACACATGTGTGCAGAAAACCCTACAGGGAATGACTCGAGAACGTTGGTATAAAGTCCAGGGGGATGGATTAAGGGACGGGCCAAGGCAACTATCTGACTGCGCCGACTCTGAGCGGGTTCTCGCGACGCCCAAGCCCTCCGCAATGAACCCTGCGCACAGGTGCACAGGCGGCGGCACCTGTAGAGCACGTGGGATGGCGGCGACGGTCACATTCCGGTCGTGAAACCAAACCCGTGAGCACATACACACTCGTTACAATCAAAATACTCAACTTGAACACAGTACATTTATACATAGTGTTAAATGGCAACGTCTTTGGCTCGGCCTTCAAACGCGCGCGCACTATACTTAAAACATTCAACATACTTCATATCATCGTCGACGACAAACCCTTTCCATAATCGGTTAACAACGAGTATTTGAAATGTTTAAATTTTCGTTTTTATAAAATTGAGAGTACACAAGATCGTCGACATAATTGATAATAACTAAACAAGTTAACGAGCACATACAGTGTGGGGAACGGGTTTTGACCAGCAACGGGCGCTACATCGCATGCACAATTACGAACGGTTGTGGAAATCCGACCTAGAAATGAGTTTAGGCGAAAACCGACTGAAATCAGCTGAGGATCGCCTTATCATGGACGCGCACGCGTCTAGTAATACAGTGATAAAATAAATACACTTAAATTCGTATTATTTACCACGAATTTAGGTTGAATGACATTTTAGATTTTACGTTGCTCCAAGACCAAAAAAACCGACAAAATCGACCATTAACAACAAACGAGTAATCGACAATAATTGATTTTTTCAAACAATACATAATTACTATTTTATTAACATCGTACCTTCGTCAATTAGCCTCTCCACGTGCATAAACATGTTGGGGAACGCCGCGATCTGCTTGCGATCTTTGAGCAACTGCGCCAAGTAGTCGGCGATGCTTTGCGTGTTCACCGCAGTCATTTCCGTCATTTTCATTAGTAAGCAGTCGCCTCTTCTGTAAGACAACAACTATGTTTGGTACCCACTTCGCGTTCAAAGACTACGTTGGAGCTTGAGCCGCACGTCCTTGCGAGTAATTTCTTTTGTTTACAATTAATACCGTAAAATTATAATACTGCAAGACTCGAGATTAACATTTTTGTTGGTATATATTCAAATTACGATTGTTAAATTCACAAATGAATATGCTGTAGACACGTACAAAATTAGCTAGTTGTTAAATGAAAAACTATTGTTATTACTAAAGTTAACACTGTTATCGGCCGAACAACGCGTCGCACTCGTTGACACCGTGTAAACGGTCGATCAGGACGACGAAAGGAAGCAGATTGTATGTTGGTTATTTTTTATTACATAAATTATTAACTAAAAAAATACTATGAATTTTTCTTATACGAACTGCGGACGCGTATTGGACTGCGCACACGATGACGAGTGCTCTTTTAAACTAACCTCGGCGCGGCTCGTAGGTCGGTAGACGTTTATCAGTGCGCGCATGCGTCAAAAAGTCACTACTGCCGCGACCAGCGCATCGGAGAAAAACAGAACCACCAGACAAGAATAGCCGCACTTGTTCGTATTTTATAATAATAAGAATAATAATATCGATAATAAATAATTAATAATAATATATTGTAATAAATTATTATTCTTTCGACGGACAATACAAACGCCATTTGTAATCTTGTGGGGCGGCTGCTATTGCTGGACTAAGTCGTAAGGGGAGGGGATACCGATTACGTCTTTCCTGTATATCTGTTCTAAAAGACAAAGACCAACAAAAACGCGAGGAAACCAAGCCCAAAGAAAATTGTATACGAGTTTAATCCACCGTGGATAAAATTAATAGGATGAGTCAATTGTAGTTATTATGAATATTGTACATACTCCGTACATGGGCATAAAACAGTTAACGGTGTTGGTGGTTTAATAAGCTGGACGCACATTGAATTGGACTAATTATTAATACCGCTCTAAAATTAAAAAAAAACCTAAATGATATGAGTTAAAAACATATTTCAGAATTGTTGATCGTTCAATTTCGATTCAAGAAACTTACCTATAACATGTTCCCTGATAATTATTATGAAGTCTGAACACTTTCACGTATTCCAGTTAATTTACTAGTAAATAACAACAACGCTGTTCTTACTATTATTGTAGCTGTTATTGTTATAGTTTTTTTATTGCTTATTCTAACAAAGATATGGCCCTAGCGGTATAAACTATCAGTAAAGCCAAGTAATTTTTTATGCCTTTACATTGCCGTCCCTAAAGCGTAGTGTATAATACGCAAAACTACATTTGTTTTACTCTTCGAGTATCGACAATTTTTTTGTCATTTATATTGTTGTTGAGATATTTAGGNATACGCAAAACTACATTTGTTTTACTCTTCGAGTATCGACAATTTTTTTGTCATTTATATTGTTGTTGAAATAATTATTTCCATTTGTTAATTTGATGAAAGTTATATAAAGGATTGGAATACGGTGTAGATTTTTTAGTAGAAACGATTTTCAAGATAATCACTTTCTATTTAAAATCGTAAAACATTTTCGAGAATAAAGTTTTATAATAAAGTTTTTTAACAATAGTAAATTGGATTTTTCTTGAGTTAATGTTTCAAAAATTATTATTACTAAATAATACTATGTCACGGTTTATTTTTTTGTTTGATTCAAGATTCATAGTACGTTTGTTTTTAATTTTTCCGTTAAATATCTTTAATTGAAATTCCTCTAATTGGATTTAATTGTTTAATTAAATTAAAATAATGTTTTATTTTACAAATATGTGAACATTTTTTATTTTTCAGTTGCCATCAGCTAGTTTGTGGATTTATTAAATTAAATATAAACAAATTAAAAAATGGTTTTCAAATAAACACTTAAAGTGTATGTCTGTGGAAATATAATTTATTTAATTTCCAGCGGAACATACTTGGGCCTACTAAATTCAAGGCAAAGAAAGAAAACATTTTTAATTGACTCAAAAGAGTAGCCATGATATTATTGCTCGAGTGAATTACGTCCAAGTTCACTTAAATAATTTTTGTTGACTGGCCTATTCCCATTGATGAATAATTTAGTAATATCCACAAACATAACTTGAAATATTCACGTACAATCATCGTAGAAGACATGGTAAAAAGATTACAGCGTGGGTCGCAATCCTGTACCTGAAGTGTATAATGGCACCTCCGCAACCGCCTTCGCGCACAACCCACTGGCGAAACCAGAGTTGCCCACTTGGCGCCCTCCAAAAACAGCATCTGCTCAATAAAATAACTAACAAAAACAACGGCCCGCGATGTGAACGAACTTGTGGAGGTGTTTATCCCACACATCACCTGACTCGTACTGTTTGATAAGTTTCAAATATATTTTTTCCGGTGAAAAGGAAATAAAATATGTAACAATACAACATTTCTTGTATTCTACTAAGAATAAAATTTAGCCATCAGTATTAATTTAATACAGATATAACTGAAAAATTACAAAAGTAAATGCTTGAATTTATACAGATGACAGTGTATCATTAACGAAGTAACTGTAAGCAACAACTAAGGACTGAAGTAGAATCTAAAAAAAATGGTTCTTAAAATAAACTCTTTAAAGTATTTACAACAAGAAAAAAAATCAAACCAAAACTTATAAAAATTAATATTTCTAACAATTTTGTTCAAAGGCGCTATTGAAAGTACTATTAAATGTTTTACTATCACAATCCAGAAATTAAACATAATTTTGTAATTTTTATTAGTGACTTCCTTCCTTTTCATAAAAGCAGGATTGGTTTTTATTATGACATGAGGGGTAAATTTCGCTTTCTTTCCTCCAAAACAAATATCATAAAGAAGTAATATAAATGGATGTTCGAAGAGCACCAAGTCTCTTTCCCAATTTACATTTAAGAACTCCCCAAATAAAATGTCTAGGATATGAACGTTTTCATAAGAATATTCCGGGATAGTACTCCACTATGAACAAAGTAATTAATTGTAAAATGTTTGAGGACTTTATGTAAATTCGAGAACGTATTTGACTAAATTAATTTTTATTTATTACTTTACGGTTGGACTTTGTTTGGTTATCCTAGGGATGTTGGTCTTGTCATAGTATGTTATTTTTTTATTTTTCATATAAATTGCTGTATTTTAAGTTAATTTGTGTGCTCCTGATCTTTTGTAAATTCAGTATGGATTCGCAAACTGTTAGTACACAAATTGTTTTAATACTAAGAAGTATCAAATTTGAGTTTGATAGTTTTTAGGCATGTAAAAACATATTTTTCAACTTGATTTTTTAAAATGTTTAGAAACAACTGCGATCTTAAACCCATATCAAATAAATGCTTTTGAAATGTGTTACAACATTAAAATAACAATAATATGTTCCAACGATTGTTCTACAATGAGAAATAGGCCGTTAAAATAAAAAAATAGCAATTAAAAACAAACTTTATTTTCAAATAATTTAACAATTATTAAAAATTTGAGAAAAATTAAAAAAAACATAGACATTTTAAAATTACAAGGATAAAAAATATTGCAAAATTATCAGATTCGCATCGAAGCGTTTTAATATAACTTACGGATATAATTATGCTGCTACTATCGTACTTCAATGCAAGAGAAAAATGAAAATTCAATAACACACAATGAAACTTATGTGAGGACGAAACATTTAAGTTATTTATTTTGAAATGTCTTTTTTAGAGATAATCTACACTCTCGGTGCGATATTTTGATTCAAATCTCACATTCTTTTTAACAACTGTCAAGCCAGTTAAGAAAATTATATTCATTGTTACATGAAAATATATTTTAGATAGAGGCAAAAATTAAAATAATTGATTAGCCATGCAAAATGTTTATCTTTTTACCGTCTTAGTAAATAAATAGATTTTTTAAACTAACTATTGAAACGAAAATAATAAATCATGAATCGTTCAATGTAAGTAAGTTATTGTACACCTATTAAATTAATATCATACGTTGCATAAAGCTTAAAACAACAATACATCTAATATCTTGATTACTTAAGACTATAGTGTAATAGAAAATCATCCTACACAAAATATTTAAAACGAAGTAACCATATGTTTCGCGTTTACCAAATTTGTTCAACCATTTACTGAATTATTATATACCTAGTAATAAAATAAACGTGTATTTTTCTCTTAAATAATGTAGAATGATAAACGAAAATACATGTATACAGGATACATATAAATATCAAGAAGCATTTATTACAATGAGTATTTTATTTCAGTTATCCTTAAAGTAAGGGTCAGGGGCGAAATATAAACCGAAGAACATATGTCAAGTTTTTGTAAGTTCTCTTTACCAGCTTGAAGACCACTTTTTTTTCTACTGTTCGTATTAATATTTAGTTGTTTCAATGAAAACAAAATTACTAAAAGCCTACGATATGCGCAATGAATAAGGCAGTAACTCATATTTTTAATTTCAGGAGATTAAAAATAAAATTTATTCTCTGATTACACTCTATATGTTTATCAATTTTCTAAGTAATTTAATTCCAATTCTAACTAAATTTTCGATATTTTGATGAAAGTTATTATAAGAAGAGTAAAACAAATCCAAATACTTCATAATCTCAAAGTTGAATTTTTTTAGTTACTGCCTTATTTTTTGCCACTGCGATTAAAAAGGTTTTTTTTTGAGGTTTACCCTAATTTTTATCAAAATAAAGCAGCATCATACTTGCATTCAAAAAAATAATGTTCCACTCAGAAGAGTAAATACAGGAGGTTAAGGAGGCTTAATAATTCTTTCTCAAATGACACAAAAGCATTTGTAAACAAAATAATAATTTCTGATATCAATAGAAGTAAATTTGTAAACGTGGCAAAACAAAATTTTTTTGTTCTAGTGAAAGATTTACAAAAATTTAAACTTCAACTAAGTAACACAATTTGACGACATTCAATATTAAATGTTGATAATCGATATTCTATTTAAATTTAATAAACCACCCCTACCTAAAATACTTTATTATTTTTTTCATGCGCTTTATTGCACATTTAAAAACCCAGTATAATCGGAATCTGATATAGTGGGGAAATGGCATAGTTGAATCAAGTATAATTTTTATCTCTCACAGTTACTCAGTCGCTATCATAAAACGCTTAGAAGTATATGTGCCAGTAGGATATCAAGTACAATTTTCGGGAAAGTTATTTTTTAAGTAGATAATACAATACTTTGACCCTCTTTAATATCCCTATCCTATAGAAATAAAATATATTTGATACAAAAACATTAAAATGTTGATACTGAAGTAAGTTTTACACCAAATGTTGACTTTTACGGCGGTATTTCAATGAAAACTAGCCGTGAAAAGTTTTATTTAAATAAATAAAGAAAATAGCCTTATCTTCCTTCAAATACAAAAAGTATCTGAATACTTTTATTCAAGTAATTTAC